TCTCACAGATGTTAAAACTGATATATAGTAGCATAGCAGCATTATTCATAATAGCCAAGAAGTGGAAAAACCCTGAATGTCTGTCGACTCATGAATGGATAAATAAGATGTAGTGTGTTCATACAATGGAATATTATTTGACAATAAAAATAAATCAAGTACCGATACATGCTACAACACAGATGAACCTTGAAAACGTTATGCCAAATGAAAGAAGCCAGTCAGAGAGAACTATATATTTAATGGTTCCATTTATATGAAATGTCCAGAAGAGGCAGATCTAATAAGGAGTCCTGGTGGTGTAGTGGTTAAAGTGATTGACTGCTAACCAGAAGGTCAGCGATTCAAAACCACCAGCGGCTCCATGGGAGAAAGATGTGGCAGTCAGCATCTGTAGAGATTTACAGCCTTGGGAACCCTGTGGGGTCACTGTGAGTCAGAGTCAACTCCACGGCAGTGGGTTTGATATTTATAGAGACAGAAAGTAGGTTAGTGGTTGTCTAGGTCTGGGAAGCTTTGGGGGAGTGGAGAGTTGGAGAAGGATGCTTAAGGGGAACAGAGCTTCTTTTTGGATGATGAAAATATTCTAAAATTGATTGTGGTGATGGATGCACAACTGTGAATATGCTAAAAGCCATTGAATTGAACAGTTTAAATGAGTGAATTGTATGATATGTGAATTATATTTCAATAAAGCTGTGTAAAAAAACTGATACAGTTATTAAATAGGATTCTTTATGGCTGCAGAGCTTATGTGTGACTTGTCTGTGCCTTTCCATAATGTTTAAACCTTAGTTTAGGGCCTTATTTATGCCTAGTCCATTGCAGTAACCTCCTAACTGAGATTCCAAGCTCTTGTTCTTTCTCTGTAGTTCATCCAGCAAATAGCTGCCAGAATAATTTTCCTGTAACAGTACTGTGCTGCGATCATGCTGTTCCTGTTTGAAGACCTGCAGAGACCCCTAGTTGCCTAAAGATCATTTCAACCTCTTAGTCTGCTTTTAAAGGCCTAGGTAACCTGTCCCTGAAAGGTTGGTGGTTCTAACCCACCAGTGGCTCCGAGGGAGAAAAGACCTGGCAATCTGCTCCCATAAAGATTACAGCCTAGGAAACCCTATAGGGCAGTTCTGCGCTGTCCTAGAGTCACTGTGAGTTGGAATCAGCTCGACGGCACACAACAAACCTACCTTGCTACTCTTACCTACTTTTCCCTGGTGTAATGCTGATGTTCCATCTAGTCTATACTCTCCTTGAAATCTGTCCTCACATATTGATGCTGATTCCTCTGTCTTGAACGCTCCCTTTTCTCCATTCTTCACCTGTTCAAATTTTAGCCAGGCTTCAAGTCTCAACTCAAATGGGGCTACTACCTCCATAGTGGCTTCTCATTTTAACCCAGCCTCTTCTTTTTCTTTAGCATTTAGTTTGTCCTGCTCATATAGCACTTCTCACTGCTACCTAATATGAGTCTTATGATAAGCTTCATGAAGGTAGGTCCACTATTGTGTCTTGTAATGCTTTAAGTTCCTAACAGGCCCTAGCAGAATGCCTTGGATGCCAGTGCTTTTTAAAAATAAATGAATAACTCAGTCTTATACTCCCCTCCCCCATTTTTTACTACCTAAATTTCCCCACTTATTCAATAAATATTGTTGAATTCCTATGGGAATATAGCAGTAGAAGGCAGCCAAGTTCCCAGCCCTCTTTAAGTTTGCATTCAAGTGGGGAGAAATAGAAAATAAATGAAGAATAAACATGATTATTTCAGTTTATGATATAAAGGGAGAGAGGCTACTTTAGCTAGATGGATCAGGAAAAGTTTCTCTGAGTAGGTGACATTTGAGCTGAGACCTAAAACCGGAGAAGCAATCAGTCTTTAAAACGAGAAACCCATTGCCATTGAGTCGATTCCAACTCATAGCAAACCCTATAGGGTTTCCAGGGAATTGCTGGTGGATTCGAACTGCCGACCTTTTGATTAGTAGTAGTAGCTCTTAACCACGTGCTATTAGGGCTCCAAACAGTCTTTAGAGACTACCTAAAATCTCTAAAAAAAAATACCTTAATACTTAGAATGTGAAAGGCTGTGTTTGTTTACAATGCTAATTCCTGTACGTAAAATCAGCAGTTTCTAGTGCTTGAAATTGCTCATTTGCCAATCTTTTGCTACCAGGGAAGTAGTAGGAGAATGGTATCACTGATAAAAGGTTTTAAATAAAGATATAATGAAGATTATTTTAAAAAATAAACACATGACAATACATAATAGTAATTAAACCAACCACAAAGCAAGTAGAGACCACCAGTGGCATTTCTTTTGCATATTCATGATGTTATTCAGTATGCTATATTTTCTCTTCTATCTTTAAATAGTAGTTTAATGGCTGTAATTCATATCTACTGAATATTTTAGAGGATACTTTAGAGAAAGTGAACCTAGGTGAATTATAAATGCTTTTAAATAGGAGTAATCAGAGTGTGTTTACTTGAGCTAGTTCTTTACATATCGTATCATAAGCTTTTTCCCTTTTCCTCCTAGTCCTTATCCAGATCTAGACGTATTTTTTTGTTGTCATTCTCTGACTTACTTTTTTTAACATCTGACATTGACTCAACATTTTCCACGTTCCTTCAGAATCTTTGTCATTATCCTGTTTTTAGTCACTTTTTAAATACCTTGATGTGGTAAAAAATTTTTGATAGCACAAAAGATTATAAAATGAATCTTTCTCTCAGCTCAAACCCTCAGCTTCCCTCTCCAGAGGCAACCACTGTTAGATTTCTCCTAAGTCCTTCAAATTTTCTATGCAAATATAAGCATATATACAACCATGTTTGTTTTTTAATCAATTATCTTTGTTACGTGTCTTTTTTCAGTCTGACTGCTTTGTCTTTAAGTTTATTTTGTTGAGCAGAATTTTCTTTTTAAAAAAATTTTGTATATCTGCTCAGTCGTTTATTCATTCAGATCAATATTTAATAAATATCTAGCCTGTACTATCTTATTCTAGGTATATATCTCTCGATGTCCTAGAATTCACAGTCCAGTGGGTGAAGACAGAAATGCAAGTACTAAGTACTGTATTAGCAGTATGAACATGTTTTAACGGCAGAGAAGACAGGAAGACAGAATTATGTCCTCTCTGGAGTTAGATCAGCAAAGACTCCATGAAGAGGGGTGACATTTAAGATGGTCCTTGAAAGATGGTAAAATTTTGCCAGGCAGAGGGAAAATTTAAGCCAAGGTGTAAAGGTGAAAAAGTACATGATTGTTTATGGAAGAGGGAACCGTTCCTTTTGATTGAGTACCCATTGCCGTCGAGTCGATTCCAACTCATAGTGACCCTAAAGGACAGAGTAGAACTGCCCCCTTAGGCTTTCCAAGGAGGGCCTGGTAGATTCGAACTGCCTACCTTTTTGGTTAGCAGTCATTTCTTTTAACCACTATGCCACCAGGGTTTCCTTTGATTGAGTACAGGGTATTTATTGCGAGGAATAGGGGGGCATAAAACTATAAGGTGGATTGGAGCCAGATTATGAAGGATCCTGAATGCTATACTCAGAAGTTTAGGCATTCTCTAGATGGTGGGGAACCATTAACGGTTAAATTTTTCCCTCTCCTTCTAAAAAACAGTCACTAGCATTTTTGACACTCTGTTAAACAATGCTGAAAAGGAAGTCATTTTCTTGTTCCTACTTTGAAGGGAAGTGACTCTTAAAGTTTATCCATTAAGTGTAATGGTAGCATAAAGCACGCTAATGTTAAGTGTACAGTTGAAATTCAAATATTCAAATACCACCCAGATCAAAATAAAGAATGTTTCTAGCACTTAATACCTCTTCCTAGTTCAAACCCCACCCTTTTTCCCAGCATAAGGACTATTCTGACTTATATCTCTATCACATAATTTTGTAATGTGGCTTTTTACTTTATACCCTTATTTTTAAGCAAGAACTCCAGGCACTTCATTGTAAAGCCTTTTCTTTAAATATAGAGTTTACTAAATTTCTGACTAGAAATAATTGCTTCAATGTTTGTATATGTTTAGTTGGTCGTATAGTGGTTGTCAGTTTTCACGTGTCCTACTTTTCATACAGTTTTTAAACATTATACCTTGATAGCCCCAAGTGGTCTTTCCCATGTACAGTTCAGGCTGTTTTTATTCATCTGAGTAATGATGATTCTTGCTTTTCTTGCTTTTGCCTCCTGCCCCAGACCGCTGAGTTTGCCTTTATAAAGATTCTTGCCTGTTCACTAAATAACATGGGCCAGAGATATGTAGAATCTGCCAGAACCGACCCAATAGCACCTAACAACAACACAACATTGCAAGGAATAAGTTATATCTAAATGCTTATACTCTATACGGAAGATATGCATGATATATATTTAGTGAAAAAAAGCAAGTAACAGAATAATGTGTATATGCTTATTTCCATTTTTGTAATAATCTGATTCTTTTTTTTAACTTATAGAGATGAGATAGACGGGTGTGTACTAGGGGGATAAATTAGAGTGGGAGGCAAAGAGACAGGTTACTGTGTTGGTCCAGGAGAGAAAGCTGAACTGTAGCAAAGGAGATAGAGAGGTGAGGCTGGATGAGAATATGAGCGATTTAGGAGGTAGAATCAATAGGATTTAGGCTAGGGAAGAGCCATCCTAGACTAGGATTCAGGTCTGGGAGACTAGGTAGTGGGGGTTGCTGTTTATTGAAAAGAAGGAACAAGTTTGGAAGGAAAAAAAAATCACTTAGGACACCATGAGTTTTAAGTGGAAGTAGAGGTGTCCAGTAGTCAGTTGGAGGTGTATAGATATGAATCTCAGAAAAGCGAGCTGAATTAGAGATCTGGATTTAGGGTATAGCTTACAGGTGGTCATGGAAGCCATGGGTTTAGATGAGGCAGAGCAGATAGAAGAGACTACGTTTTTCCAAGTTCATACTGAGGTTATATTTTTGTACTGTTTTTTTTTTTCCTCTTATTTCCTTGATTATGATTTCCACATTACTAGGTTTTTGTAGTTGTTTGCTTAGGAACTCTGTTATTCATAGATCATTTCCTGTTTTCCAGACAAATCTGTTACTTTTGCATTGTTATTATCAGGTTTGGTAATAGTTTCTCTGTGATTTAAGATATTTGTGTAAGTATCCTGTACAGTACTTGTTAGTTCTAGTCTTCTGTCTCCCTTCAATGTTTCCACTTCCTTTTTGGCATTACAGTTTTAAACATATTTCCATTTTGCATTTATTATTAGGAGAAACAAAATTAGTAAAGATAGAGTAGTAGGTATTAATAGGTCATTGTTTGGGGGAGCATTTTGACTAGTGGAAGATCAGTTAGACATTAAAAAGAAGCCAATCTGTTGACTGTTGAGGAAGTTGAATTGTAGGTTTAGATTTTATTCTATAGACAAGAGTGAGCAGTTGGAATTTTGAGGAGGGGTTGCATAGAGGAAGCAGAGCAGAGGTAAGAGAATTGAGTCTCGGGGCATACCCATTTTTAGGGTACTGGAGAAATGGATATAAAGTCAAATAATTTTCATTACTATTTAAAGGAAATACCTTTTAGTTCTCTTATATTAGTTGGTAAGATTTTCTTTGACTTCTCTCCAAACCTTCCTTCCTTGTGACCGTGTCACTTTTCATGGATGCCCCTAACCTCTGTCTACAAAACTAGTTCTTTTCTACCCTTTATTTTAAAGATTCTAACACTGTGACTATGTAGGCATCTTCAGATTCTAAGACAGTACTATCCAATAGAAATATAATTCAAGTCACATATGTAATTTAAAATTTTCTGTTAGTCACATTAAAAAAAGCAAAGAGAAACATGAATTTTAATAATATATTTTACTTGACTCAGTATATTCAAAATGTTACCATTTAAACATGTAATCAATATAAAAGATTAATAAGATATTTTACATTCTTTTTCTTTCTTTTTGTACTAAATCTTTGAAATCTGCAGCCCATCTCAGTTCAGGCTTAGCCACATTTCAAGTGCTCAATAGCCACATGTGGCTAGTTTCTACCATACAGGACAGCACAGTTCTAAGATTTTAAAGACTTTAATGAGGTATGTTCTGCCTAGGAAACTCTTCTCCACTCTGCTTCATCATAAATTCCATGAGCATTCATTTCTTAAGAGAAAGATGCAAAGCCAGTAAAAACAAGCAGGTTGTCTTCAATTTTCAGCTTGTATGAAGCACGCAGAAATAAAGCCAGCTTAGAAAGGGAAGTAATAGAATATTTCAATTCCTGACCTCTGCCTGAGAAAATCCTTTATTTTTTCCTGTAGGGTCTTAGAGGCTGGTGCTTTCAGCTAAAATTATGATTAAGTACTTCAGGCTTTTACCACAGTTTTTATATAACATTATAATCTTTTTCAAAAACAAAATATAACCACCTTAACTAATATTAATACAGACTTTACCGATCACAGTTCTCATGATGAGTAACTCCTCTTAACTATACCCTCTGCTAGAAGATTTGTCATTTTTTAACATGACACATGAGGTCACCGTGAGTCAGAATCAGCCCAACAGCAACTAACAACACAACACCACCATAAACCTGATGGTAAATTTCCAGAAGTTTTAACTTAAATATAAATTAAGAAATAGAAAACTTTAAATGAGTTACAGAAGCATCTTGGTTACTATAATTTACATTTTAAAGATATTTTCTTTTATGTATTATATACTATATAATACTGTTTTTAAAATTAAATGAAAATTTACAAAATAAAATAGAAAGTAAATAAGGCATATTATATGTAGAAAATTGTCTCGTTACAAAGTAGAACAGATATTTGTATGAGTTGCTTATGTATATTTTATTTAACACATAAGGAAAAATGTTTTGGTAAATCAGGGAGTTAATTTTTATATTTAGATTAATTTTGAAAATAATTGCAAAGGAACATAGCAATATTTATTGATTATGAATCACGACCGAATGGTCATATATCCTAATGCTGATATATATTGTTGAAATCCTAATGTAGTGAATCAGGATGGAAAATACTTATCTACATTTGATTGTCAGATGCAGTTTAGCGATGGGTTAATTAGGGATCTTCTTTGTCTTGGTTTTCTGCTGTTGTTTTTATCCTGTTTACTTGGGATTTAAGTAGATTAGGAAAAACCAAATCAGATACTTTCAGAAATGTTTTCCACATATGTTCCTACACTTAAATATGCTAGCCCTTTTTATAATACTCTTATTCTCAAAGTTTAAAAATATATTTCAGCTTAAATGTACCATAGAGTTAAGGTATTTAAAGAGAAATTGATTTTTATTTAAGGTTTAACAAATCTATGTGCTTTTCATATAGTTTAGCAAATTTTCAGACTGGATTTTTCCCCAGGCATTTTGGACCTTTTGAGTAGTTATTCTAACTGTTGATTTAGATTATATAATTTTTTTTTCTTTTTGCAGAGATAAAAGCAACAGTGTTTGATGACTGCAAGAAAGAAGGCGAATGGAAGGTAGAATTTGTATACTATGTCCTTTTATTGAGGACTTATGATATATCTACAGGAATACAGACTCTGGAACCATATTGCTTAGGTTCAAATCCTGGCTTCATCACTTAATAGCTGTGGCCCCTTGGCAAGTTATCAGACTTCTCTTTCCTGTGTCCTTGGCTATAAAATGGAGATGATAATACTTACCTTGTAGGATAGTTGTAAATATTAAATAAATTAATCCATGTAAAGTGGTTAGAACAGTGCCTGGAATAATTATTGTTATTCTACAACTGGCAATTTATAATTTTAAGGAAATTTGATGTTAAACATTAATTATATTTAAAATTAAAAAGTTCTTCGTTCAAAATAGAAATATTTCTGTTTGCTTACTTAGATAACAGAATGGAAAGATAATACTAATAGATGTTTGTATATTGAGAAAATAAATCTCCATGTCATGCAGATTTAAAGATGATTTGAGATTTTTTGGCCTACCATACTGATATTTTAATTTTATTTTGTAGAAGGTTTAAAAGTGAGTAGGTTTAATGGATAAAAAATTCTGTCTTTTGTGAATTGTTGGCAGTCAGATACTTACATATTTCCTAATCTGTATTTGTTTTAAGATAATGCTCTTAGATGATTTTACCACTAAGCTTTTGGCATCGTGTTGCAAAATGGCAGATCTTTTAGCAGAGGGTATAACTGGTAAGTGTTATTGATACTCATCATGAAAACTTTATTGTAATTGGGCTCTGGCGTTGGACAGATCTGGGTTGGAGTCCTGCCTGTTCTACTTTCTAGCTGTGTAACTTTGGACAACTTACTTAACTACTTTAAACATGGATTTCCTTGTTTGTAAAATACTAATAGGGTTATTATAAGATTTGATAATTCATGTAAAATTCTTCACTTGGTATCTGGTATCATATTAGCTATTACTATAGTAATATAGAAGGAGCCCTGGTAGCTCAGTAGTTAAGTGCTCTGCTGCTAACCAAAAAGTCAGCAGTTCAAACCCACCAGCCACTCAATGGGAAAAAGGTATGACAGTCTGCTACTGTAAAGATTGCAGCCTTAGAAGTCCTCTAGGGCAGTTCTACTCTGTCCTGTGGGATGGCTATGAGTTGGAATCAAGTCAATGGCAATGGGTTTTTTAATAGTAGTATATTTTTAAAAGAAAAACATTTTAATTTTTAATGTACTTTCTTGTTTTCGTCGTGGCTTGTTGATTGCTTATGCTGGTAGACCTACCTGACTATGTATAACTGCTTTATCTTTTTCTTTCATGATGACAAGACACCTTAGCCCAAGGCTTAGCCTTAGAGAAGACACATTTTGGGGGAGTTTTTTATTAATCCAGTGAAAACAAAGAGAATGTTAAACCTAGAATATGTAAATGTATTTGCCAACGCCCACTCCTCACTTATCAGCAAAGACCAGGTTGTTATGTGAAAATTGTCATGTGAAAATGGAGGATGACTACATCATTACATAACTGCCAAACCACTAGGAATCATGGCCCAGCCAAGCTGACACATAACTTTAACCATCACAGCCAGTGTTACTCTCACCTTGCACCCTGGTGTTTGTTACTGCCAAATGTATGTCATTAATACACAAAATGGTCGGATGGAAGATTTTTTACTATTGCCGTAAGTGCAAAATGTTGGATAACGAGATAGTCGATAAGTGAAGAGTAGGTGTATTATAAATGGACAGTTCAGTAAAGTTTATTTAAAAATTGTTTCAAGTGTATACGTATGTGATTACAAGTATGACTTTTTTTGTTAGTGGTGGAGAATATTTATAAGAGTCGCGAACCTGTCAGACAAATGAAAGCTCTTTATTTTGTCTCTCCAACATCAAAGGTGAGTATTTTGAGTCTTTAAGGACTATGTTCTTTAATTTTTTCACCATTGCTATCATTTTCTAATAGGAAAAGTAAAGCAGTACCATATCCTTTATTAGAAAAATATTGTCATAAATTAGTTTGTTTAGGAAAGTTGTTTCTGGGTTAGAAGATTGTTTTATTTGTGCTCTTCTCAATGAGAATGTGTAAGTGAATGTAACCCTCCCTTTTCCATATGTGAGAGCAGAATTTAATGGTATAAAATGATAGAGTTTCTTTGAATAATTTTATTATTCATGCAGTTCCTATTGAACCATAATTTTGGGGGGATAAAAAAGTTAGTAAAAGAAATAGTCTTGGATTAATCCTTTATTTATGTTAGTGACTTTCCTATAGCATGCATACCACTCCCACGTATTTGTATGTATGTATGTATGTGAGAAGCCCTGGTGGCACAGTGGTTAAGCACTAGACTGCTAACCAAAAGGCCAGTGGTTCAAACTCATCAGCGCTCCATGGGAGAAAAGACCTGATGATCTGCTCCTCTAATGATTACAGCCTAGGAAACCCTATGGGACAGCTCTCCTCTGTCATATAGGGTCGCTATGAGTCCGAATCGACTTGATGATGGCATGCACCAATATGTGTGTGTGTGTGTGTGTGTGTGTGTGTGTGTGTGTGTGTGTGTAGAAATTTCTTCAGTTTATAATCTAACTGTATGATTTAACTCATACTTTGAGCTAAATTCCTGGAAGCTTAATAAAGTATCAGATTCCTTTATATTCTTCCATATTGAGAAATGTATTTTCCAACACTCCTTTTGCTTATTCCCACCTAGAGTGTTAATTTGGCAATCCTGGTTTCATTTCACTTCTAGCTCTAGCAGACAGTAGGGAAAAAAGTAGATATTCACTGCTTAGTCTGTTACATTATTGGTTGCTAATGTGAACAGTGTGTTTTAATGACATTTTAGATCTTATGTGTGACATAATTCCATAAGAGAAAATTTATGATTGGAGTAAATGCTGGTTAAAAGCACCATTTTTCACCTAGCAAATTGGCAGATATATATATATATATATTAGTCAGAATTGACTCACCAGCACACAACAATATATAAAATAAAACATTCTAGCCATCAGTGGGTTATGGAGCAGAAACTGCCACATACTGCTTGTGGGATTGCAGATTATTTTTTATAGACTGATAACAGCCTTTTTGAAAAGTAATTTGCTGTTCCTTATCAAGAACCTTAAAATGGTGTACATTATTGAGTTTATCATAAGGAATAAATAAATGGTTGAATTAAGTTCCTAGCAATAAGTAAGTCTACTTAAATTCTCACCATTAATAAATAATGGTATGAAAGACCATGTGGACATAAAAGTACGGTTTCTAGGAATTTATAATGACTAGGTAAATGTTCACTTTCAGTGTAAAGTGAAAACGTAGGTAACAAAACTGTTCAATAAAGGAGGAAAGGATTCATTGAAGATAGTATCTGATTGTGACTCCCGTGTTTAGTCTGCCACAACCACCCCCAGTTTCTCTTCCTGTCCTGAATCAGTTGCCTGGTGGGTCTCCCAGGCTTCAGGAGGCCTTGGGCTCCGTGGGAACTCTGATGGAGAAATGTGGTGTGAGACTTGCTTCCTCATAGGCTGGGAAAGTACCAGGAGACCAATATCAGAGAGTTCCCAGGCAAGGATTGTAAAGTGACATATTTCAGGAAGAGCTTGGCTGTAGAATATCTGTGAACTCCAAGGGAAAGGTCAATTGGGTGCCTCAGAAAGGCCCTGGTGGTTTGTCTACTTCTGCATCTACAGCCTGCAGGAGAAGAGATCTCTTTGCCTTCCTCCTCTGGTGGAACTGCCTCTATTTTGGATACTCTAACAACTAGACCTAAGCTTCGAGTGAGTTGACAAAGAAAAGCAGCAACACATCTAAGTGGGTCAAGCTACCAGAGAGGAAGTTCAGTAAGAATGAATAAGATACATATCTATCAAAATATAGCTGCTAGAAGAAAAAGATGACAACCTAAACAGAAAAATAGTATACATGAGAGTCCAGTGCAGCACATGAAAAACTCTCTGAAACGTGATTTCTCAGTTAAACAGTTAATTGAAAGAGAGGATAATCACTACTGAAGTTTGATTTAGTGGCCTAGAAGATCAAAATAGAGTATCTCAAAGCAACAAAGGAAAGACGTGGAGATCACAGGGAGAAAGATAAGACATTTGTAGGCTAGATCCAGGAGATCTGTAGTATGTAGTTCTGTTCTCCAAAAGTATAGTTCTAGGAGTTCCAGAAGGTGAAAAAGGAACAGACGGAAGAGAGATAGTAATTACATTCTTTGCTCTTCATTTTTGCTTCCAAACCATTGTATCTTCTTTATTTCTCAAACTCCCAGCATTGAGGTATTTCCTACTAGACTGCATTACTTCCTATTCCTGCTCCTTGCAGTCATGTGTAGTCCCTGGGTCTTTCATTCTAATCTCTTGACAGTTTTAGCTCCTAGCTCACTGTCACTTTCTTCAACACTTTTTTAGTCATGACTCTTGGTGATTTCATTGTCCATGTCGATGATAATTCCAGTGCATTGGCTTCTCAGTTCCTTGATCTGCTATCTCCCAATGGTCTTGTCTTCTGTCTTGCTTCAGCTTCCCAGCCACTTGATCATTCCTAATCTCCTCATTGCTAATAACAGCACCATATTCATAATCACAGATGCCAGGTCTCCATTTCTCTGACAGTAGAAACCTCTCTTTCTAGGATGCTCGCTAATATGACAGCTCCTATAAATCTTTGCGCCTATGAGGGGTCATTGGTATATTACCTTTTTACAGTTTCTTGTGCACATCATGTCCCTCACCCTCCTCATGTCTCTTCCCATTTTATCCAGCCTAGAAGAGAAAGAAAACGTCTTCTAAAGATATCTTTTTGAGATGAAGGGAAGCAATGGGGGAAACCAGTGCATTTTAGTGGGGAGAATTGATTAGTATCTTATCTTTAAATAATAGTAGAGAAATGTGACTGATTATGAGTACAGAGAAAGAGAAGATAATTATTAAGGTAATGAAAAAGTGTAATGTAATTTCCAAATTAAAAAAGAGAAAGGGAAAAATACAATGTAAAATAAATAATGAATATAAAGCAAGGTAGAATGAATAAATCAGCTTTTTCAGTCATTGCTTTAATTCTGAATTTTTTTTTTAAATATGAAACCAGAAGCTGTCTGATTGGTTTAAGAAACAAAACATGTTCACAAGAAGCACGCTGTTTACAAGAACAGAATGATAAAGGTTGAAAATAAAGTGATGAGCAAAGAGGTCTAGATAATGCAAAAAGAAAGAAAGCACAAGTGGCAGTATTAGTATTAGACAAGGTACAATTTAAGTTTTAAAGCCCCAAACAAGATGAAAAGGGGCATTATGAAATTGTAAATGACAAATTTAGGAAGATACAACATTAATAAATCTTTATGTACCAAATCACATAGCAACTAATACAATAAGCAAAACTGTTCCAAGGCTTCAGTACACCTCTTTCAATAGATTTTGTAGACCAAAAATAAGTTAAGACAAAGACGTTAAATACTATCTTTGATTCAAGAAATATGAACAGAAGCTAGTTGATTTATACAGGTAGCCCCGGACTTATGATGTATTTGACTGACAACGAACCACACTTACGACTGTCTTTTTTTCGGGGGGGTTGCGGTACATCTGATTGTTAATAGTATGTACTACATACAGTGTTGTGGTATATAATTTGCTGATGGTATCATTCTCAGATGTTTATTAGCAGATGTTCAAAGATCAGATTTATAAAGATACTGATAATAAAAAGCAACAATAATGAAAACTAAAAAAAAAAAGGTATTCAGCTTAACGTCAGAACTGACTTACAATTAGAAATAATTTTTAAAAATACTAGGAAGAGGGAACTAATAAAGTTATAACTTGTTTTTATTAAAAGCTTTCTAATTTTTTGTTAGAAAGGAGAACTGAATCCTAAAACTATTCATAAAGACCAAAAATCAAAGCCCTAGTGAGTTAGCATAAATTCAGTCTGTTAATTGGCTGATTTTTTAAGAATGACAATTAGCCAGTTGATGTATGTTAGTCCCAATTTGCATAATATACACACATTTTTTGAAATTGGGGAATTATTTTACCAAAGCTTTTAAAACATTAGTTTCTTACTGGATTTTTAATTGCTTATATACTAAATAAGATGGCTGGGGTTAAAATAAACTAAATTTTCTTTCTATAACAACTTAAGTAGATTATTCATTTTATTTTGTATCTAATATGTTGGATAACTGTGGGAAGTACATTTGTACTTGGTATATTTTTTCTGATAAATGTAGAAATTTTTCTCCCTGAATTTTTATGTTTCATGTTGGCTGATGTTGGAAAACCTTTGCTTAACTCAGCCTAATTTTTAGGGAAATAATATTATACCTTAAACTCAGAGAAGAATTGCATGTGGTATGAGTGTTTTCCTAAAAAAAATCATTGCTATCACACATAGTACCTTACTAGCTATCACTAACTAGAGAATATGACATCTTAAAAAAAAAAAAATCAATCTATAAATGAAGTAAACTTTTAGCCAGTAAGGTTTTACTTCATTATTGAAACAAAATGATCTTAGTTATTTCAGAAGCTAGCATATTTAAATTAGTGTTCAATGAAATGTGTGTTAACTTCTAACCGTTTTTAAGTCTGTAGATTGTTTTTTACGTGATTTTGCAAGTAAGTCGGAGAACAAATATAAAGCAGCATATATATACTTCACTGACTGTAAGTAACTTCTTTTAAAGTTATTGTTTCATTGTTGTAAAATCCTATTATAAAGTATATACTTAACTAATTTATAATATTTTATAATACTATTATAGTACTAGTAATTTTCTGTTTATTGTTTGTTGTAATTAGGCTAAGGAAGAATCTAAAAATATAAGATTATATGTATCCTAATTCATGTTAAGGTGATAGAAAATTAAAAGAAACTATTCTAAACTACTTTGAAATGATAACCATTTTTGCGGTTATTTTGTGAGGGGAAGATTGATGGGAGAGCACAATATGGGGAGCTTTCCCTCAAATTGTATGCTGATGACAGGAAGAGTTTTTTTTTTTTTTTTGGTTTTTTTTTTTAAATCAAAGTCTCAATTGAGGATTTGATTGTACAATAAAAAAGGGAGCCCTTTGTGGGGGGAACACTGAAGCTACAACCATCTTTTTGGCAAATATTAAGGGAGAAAATCTACCACATCTCCCTTACTATGACGTGTTCAGATAGAAAACAGCTAAACTAAAGAATCACAGTCAAGTCTAGAGACACAAATAGTTCTGTGTTATATGTAATAATGTGTTATATCATTATACTTCAAAATAAAAATACCATTTATCTAAATTAAGTCTTAGTCTTTGCTACTATAGCTATCCTCACTTTAAGTTAGTCCATTTTTCTTGAAATAGTGTTTATTTCATGTCTAGTAATAATTCGCATTTTTTTAAATGCCATACCATAAGTATTTGTCATTTAAATAACCTTATTATACAGAACTTCATGTTTTGGGATTGGTAACATTTAATGAATATGAAGCCTCTTCTAACTTTAGGAATCTTGAGGCTAAAGAACTCACGTTAAAAACAGCAGTAGCTTACAGTTGATATTCCAACTTAGAGGTAATGGAACTATTCAAAAAAAAAAGCTCTGAGTTCTAGAACTTAAAAGTTTAGAGTCTTAGAGTTTCCTGGCATTAGAGAAGTTCCTGTAATTCAAGGAAGAATTACCACGGGTGTGGCTTGGTTACACTGAAGATCATGTAATGGCAGATTTGGAAAAGTAATATAAATTAAGTTCTGAAAGTGCTACAAAAGTTTAATAAGTCATGAATTTTGCCATACATTTTCTTGTTAACAATTTTAGCTTGCTGTTTTAGCAGATCTCTAAGGATATATCTCTGAGGTTATAGTGGATGTGAATGGGGAAAATGGAATTTCTGTTATAGCCCTCATGACTGGAATACATTTGTTCTATAAAGTGAAGAACAAATCTCTGTCACAGTAAATTACTCTGTGAAAGTCAGTATATATATATTTATTTAGTCTTACATGTTGAAATAATTTATTCAAAAGAATAAAAATTTTCATGGGGTTAAATCCTTCAAATTTTTTTTTCTCCCTCTCAGTTTGCCCTGATAGTCTTTTTAACAAAATTAAGGCTTCTTGCTCCAAGTCAATAAGAAGATGTAAAGAAATAAATATTTCCTTCATTCCACTTGAATCTCAGGTACTTTCTTTCTTTTTTTATTTTAGTTTATAATGGATTTTAAAATTTGATTTTATAAGCTTATTTGTTAATAAAGCATATTCAACAGATGCTTTTATATGTATTTGGTGAGTTCTGAACTTAATCTACAAAGAAACATTTCCCATGATGGAGGAAGGAACACGAGCAATAAATTGGTATAAGACATTAGTAATGAAAAGTGGGGCTTAAATTTCACATCCGCTACCAAGTCCTGCGTAGGTCAAGTTATAGCACTACTGAATTTTAAAATCAGAATATTTGGAGCATAGTCTTTTGTTAGATGACTCCAGAAAAATAAGTTCATTTAGCTTATATAACAATTGTGATATTAAAATAAATGTTCTTTAGTAAATTTTTTATGTGATATGAATTTTCATTTAGTTTAATTTACAAAACAAAGGGTTTTTGTTTGTTTGCTTTTGCCTTTGGAATGATAAATGAGCCTTCAATTAATAATAGTGATAATCGTAGCAGACACTTCCGTAGTTACTTCCTAAAGTGCTTTACATAAAAGTATTCATTTAATCCTCACAACAGCCCTTTGAAGTAGATGCTAATTCTAGTTCCATTTTAAAGATAAGGAAATTAGGTACAGAAAGGTTGAGTAACTTGGCCCAATTCACACAGCTAGTGAATTGTTCGATTTTGTTGTGCTCTGGTCTCTGTGTTTGAATTCTAGCATCTTACAGTATTGAAGTAGTTTACTATTATTTGGAACTATGAGGTTAATATTTTTAAGGGATAAAAAAGTCCTAGATAGATTTATCTTTCAAGCTGAGGCTGTTTTTGACAAAGAAAGATTATAATCCAAATTGTAAAATTTTAAGATACCTGCTTAACACTACATTGTTTTCCAAAGTTAACTTTAAACCTTTTCCTTTTAATGATATATAAGTTTAGTGTAGGGTGAAATGTACTTCCTGAAATGATGTGGCGTATGAACAGTAGTGTGGTAAATATTACAGACATTTCCAGAGAATTCTGCTGCACAGAAGGTAAATAGTTTTCAGCCTCAAAAATTCATTAAAATTCTGCAATTGCTCTGTTTAAAGAAGGGGTTTGTGTAGATATCTGACTGATTTGATGGCTGATGGAAATAACCTGTTGCCTTTCCATGTATAGAGAAATCTCTTAAGAAGTTTTTTTCCTACCAGTCTTTGCTAAATGTTGTGATTATTTAAGGTCTTTTCTGTCTGCTGTGTTTTTCCTCTAAGAATTTTTTTCTTTTAATTTAATTCCTTATCATAAGAGGGTTTACTTAATAAATTTATATGTTTTGGAGAAATTACAGTGAAGATATTTTGGATTTTGTTTGGTTTCTTGTTTGCAAATGGATATATAAGTGCTTTGAACTGTGAGCAAAGGCCTGTATCAGCATTTATCAAGATCATGTTCAGTGGGTATTATTGCCTGCTAGATGCAAAGCAGTCTGCTATGAAAAGATGAACAAGATATATACCCTACCCTATTACAGATCTTTGAAACAGTAGTAATTAGGATTAGGTTCAACTGTATATAACAGAAAATCTAAACTTGCAGTGACTTAAACAAGATGGAAATTTATTTCTTGCTCATTTTGTAAAAGATGTCAGGTAATAGGCTGTATAAAGCTGGTATAATGATGTCACAAAATTGTCAGGGAACTTAGTCTCCTAGACATGGCCTCCCTGAGCCAAGATGAGTGCTAGAGTTATCACATCCTCATTTGAGGAAGCAGGATGAAGGGGAGAAAAAGAGGACCACACTACTTTTTAAGGAGTTTTCGCATACATCCCATATAATTTTCATATGTATACATATATGTGCGTGTGTGTGTGTGTGTATATATATATATATATGATTTATATGTGATTAGCTAAAATTTGGTCCTATGACTGCACCTAAGTGCATGGTAAACTAAGAAACATCATCTTTTAGCTAGGCATATGACTGCCCCAGCCCAAGAACTGGGATATTGTTACTGAAAAGTAAGGGGTGAATAGTTGTTGGGGAGGCAGCTCACAGTTTCTGCCACAAGAAGAGAGAGATTAATTCTTACTAGGAAATTGGGAAAATATTTGAAGAATGAGTAGGATGTTATAAGGTAGAAATGAAGAGGGAAAGGATATTCTAAGAGCGAGAATAATGTGAGTGCAAAGATACAGAGGCAGAAAAGTGCAGGGGAGCAGCAGGAATATGTATTACAAGGGGTGAAGGTATGATAAACAAGGCTGTCTCTACAGGTAGGTTGAGACAGTTCTGTAGGAGATGCCAAATTCCACCAAGACTGATGCAGGAAATGGGCTGGAGCAGAAAACTGAGAGTGGTCCTGAAGTCTCTAAGGAAGGGTAGAGTCTTATAAATGAGGATTAGTAGTCAGGTATGGTAGTCCTCCGAAGAAGAAAAGTTGGACATTCAGCAGTATTTAGAAGTTGTATGGAGAAGAGGAAGATTTACCCACTCCTCCTCATTCTGTGAGTCAGAAGGATTAAAGAAAGATCTCTCTTTCCCTTTGAGAGGGTTTAAAGTAAGTAATGCTGTCAGGTATACTTTAAGGCAAGTAGACGGAAAGCATTCAAGAATATAGGGGACTTTGTTCACGATAGACCTCAGAGAGTATGAAGAGTTTGGTATAGCTAATCCTAGAGAGGATGCTAGACGGTATCTAGGTAGAAGTAGAACTGAGCTAGTATAAACAGTAGGATAGCAGGTGGAGGGCTGTCTATATATAAGGAACTGATTGTGGGTCATAAAGATGAAGAAAGCATTTGGTAATTAAAGAACATTTAATGGTGGGGAGAGGGCAGTTGGGAGGGGGAATGATAAGGAGGGAAAGGGAAGAATTGTGAGTGAAGAATGAGAACCAGCCACAAAGTTCCATCTGGTGCCTTGGAGTATCAGATAATTTAGATTCATTTAAGCTGTGTTAACAAATCTCTGTGTATTACAACAAAGGTTTATTCTTCATTATGTTATTGTCCGTTGTGGTTTGGCTGGGGCTTTGCACCATGTTCTTGTTATTCTGGGACAGGCTGAAGGAGCAGCTCCTATCTGGGTCATATTGTTGTTATAATGTTAGGTGCCATCAAGTTGGTTCTGACTCATAGCGACCTTACATACAACAGATCGAAACACTGCTCGGTCCTGCGCCATCCTTACAGTTGTTGCTATATTTGAGCCCATTGTTGCAGCACTGTGTCAGTCCAGCTTGTTGAGGGTCCTCTTTTTTGCTGACCCTCTACTTTACCAAGCATGATGTCATTTTCCAGGGACTGGTCCCTCCTGATAACATGTCCAAAGTATGTGAGATAAAGTCTCGCCATCCTCGCTTCTAAGGAGCATTCTGACTGTACATCTGGGTCATAGCACAGGGAAAAGAGAAGGTAGTGGAATCACATATGACTTTTAAAGCTTCTACTGGGCAATGGCACGTGTCACTGCTCATGTTCCAGTGACGAAAGCAAGTCACATAGCCAAGCCTAAAATCAGTGGGAAGTGTACTCTCCCATAGGGAGACACCTAGAAGGGTTATTTTAAATATTTAAATACTTTGAATATTTAAATGGCATAATATTGTCTATTGCAGTGAGAAAGCCAAGTCCAGTATTGG